TACTGGGGATCGAACTCGGGACCTTGCGCTTTCGAGGTAGGCGCTGGAAGCACTGAGCTAAATCCCTGGCCCACAGTTTACAAAATTTTAAAGACATCCTCTGACAACAAATGTGAAGGAACCCACGCTGTGAACATAGCTAAACCTTGTAGCAGAAACTTACCTGTGTACAGTGCTTGTAATCTCAGTTACTCAGCAGGCTGAGTCAGGAGGATCCTTTGAGCCTAGGAATTCGAGACTCATCTGGGCAATATACCAAGACACTAGCTTAAAAATAATAAAAAAATGAACTAGGTTAAAACACTGTCACCACCACCATTAACGGCAAATCTAGTACATCTAGTACATTGAGATGAACCTGGTAAACAAATTTTTGGGGGGGGGGTAAATGAATTCTGTACTTCCTGTTTTTTTATTTTTTGGGGTACTGGGGATTGAACTCGGATCCTTGAGCTTGTGAGGCAGGCGGCAGAACCACTGAGCTAAATCCCCATCCCTGTAATTACTTTTTATAAGATTAAATTTCTTCTCTAGTAAAATAAATTGGGTTAATTGAACAATTTGTCACTGTGGATCAGCGATAAATAAAATTCTTCAATTGATCAGTTTTTCCCTGCAGGTCAAATTCCTCAGTTGTGGTCAGTCTCCGCAGGTCAGATTCAAATTTTGTTTTTTAAATTTTTTTTTTTTTTTTAATTTTCTTTTTACTTCTCTTAAAGGATAGATATTTAAGATATGGGGTGGTATGGTAACTTCTCTTTTTCCTTCCTCCCCTCTGCCCCACCCCCCTTTTCTAGTACTGAGTGTTGAACCCAAGACCTTCGCGCTGAACTACATCACCAGCCATTGATTGATTGATTGATTGAGACAGGGTCTCACTAAGTCTCTTAAGTTGCATGGGCTGGCCTCCTGCTTGTGTTTCTCTTGCCTCAGCCTCCAAGAGTGCTGGGATTACAGCTGTGCAACACTGTCTGGCTTGTGACTTATTTTTTTTAATTTGTACAATTGCTATACAAATATATTTTATTACAATTAATGCATAAACACTTGAGAAAAATGACAAACTATAGTATACCTTCCTGAATAAAGAATATTATTTTTACATCATCTTGTTTCTAAGGCAATAGAAGATGAGTCTTGTTTCTTTTCCGTAAGAAATGATAACCATTAATTGACAGTGGTAGAAGTTTTTATGTTTCATGACATGGAGTTCTTATAGTAGCTCTCATAAAAACAAGTAGTTTCTTAGAGAAATAAGTTTATTGATACTAGAATTCTCTTTTCAAACACAAATTACCCTTTGTACACTGTTATGGGCTGAATACTTGTGTTCTCCAAAAATTAGGAGATACATGGTTTGTAACTTATTATTACAGTATTTCAGAACTATTATTGCCTTCTTGAAGCAGAGTAATTTATCTGTTGTTTTTGTGTTTTTCATGTTGCTAACCATTATGGCAAATTGTACAGTGCCAGTGGAGAAATGGCTATTTCTGGAAATGCATGCACCACAGTTGGATTACTTTCACCTCTGTCTGATACAGTTTGGTGGGCCATGTCACTGTGATATGTTGGACTCATATTTGGCCAAATTTATGTGGCACAATTGACTTGGAAATAATACTTTCTATCAAGTAAAAAAGCTGAAAACCAAGACCAGACCAGGCCACAACAAGCCTTTATTGTAGGGACAATCTGCCAGGCTGTCTTTGAACAAAGGAGAGACAAAAGCAATATGGCCAGGACGGGGAGTGCTTTTTATAGGAGCTAGGGTGGGCCTTGTAGGAGCTGGGGTGGGGTTGAGTGAGGTAGTGGCTAGGGACTGTAGGAGCCTGTGATGTCACTAGCTGGTCTGAGGAGAGCAAGTATTAGGTTACTCTTTTGGTGGGAGTAGAGGCATGTTGGGAAGAAGAAGGTAGCTATTATATATAGTAGCCACCCTAAATTGGAGGGAAATCGATCATTTTCAACTATGTTTTACTATATATATCAGAATAATTTTCTGTTAAGTAATATGATGTTTTGACTTTTGTAGTATGTTTTAGTACAAATATCCAGGGACAAATTTTTCAGTTGAGTACATCTGAGAGACAAATTGATCAATAGATCCAATAAATGATAGCTGTTTTTTAAAAAATTGTTTTATTGGTACATTTTAGATATACAGTACGTTTACATTTATCATTGGGTTCTTGTACGTGTACATGATGTATCTTAGTTCTTATTTTTTTCCCCCATTACCTGTGCGTCCTTCACCCCCTCCACCCTTCCCTATTTACATAGATTTCATTTCCATTTTTTTCTTTTCTCATAATTTTTCCTTTCCCTTCTTCCCTTTCCCCTTCCCCTCCCACCACCCCTACACCTTTGGACCTTTTCCTATTTCAAATTATCAATTCATTTTAATCATTTTAATCCTTATTTACACTTTCAGTTTCTCACACTAGAGAAACTTCGGTATTTACACGTGTGTCCTGTTTATTTTCACTTAAGAGTATGGCCTCAATATGCATCCGTTTAGCTATAAACGTCTGTAGTTTCTCGTTCTTTATGGCTGAGTAGTACTCCGCTTTATAAAAAAACCACATCTTCTTTATCCAGTTTCCAGTTGATGGGCACTTGGGCTGTTTCCAAACTTTAGCTATTACAAACTGTGCCGCTATAAAACATAGGTGCACATATATCGCTGTGGTATGATTCTTTTAATTCTTTGGGGAAGATACCCAGCAGGGGAATAGCTGGGTCAAATGAGACCTCTAGTTCTAGTTCTTTGAGGTATCTCCGTACAGATTTCCACAGTGGTTGCACCAGTCTGCACTCCCACCAACGATGGAGAAGAGTTCCTTTCTCTCCATATCCCCACCAGCATTTGTTATTGGTTGATATCTTGATAGCAGCCATTCTTTCTGGGGTGAGGTGGAATTTTAGTGTTATTTTCATCTGCATCTCTCAAATGTTGAACATTTTTTCATATATTTATTTGCTGCTTTTACTTTTTTGTTTGAGAAATGTCTGTTCATTTTGGATGCCCAGTTTTGAATTGGGTCTTTGAATTTGGGGGGTCTGATTTTTTTCAATTCTTTATATATTTTCGATAGTAGACCTTTGTCTGAGGTACAGCTGCTAAAAATTTTTTCCCATGATAGCCTGTTTTCATAGTAGCATTGTTTGAGCTCAGAGTTCATTGTTTGTGGCCAGGGTTTAATCAGGCAGGGTAGCTTGACATGGGTGATATATTCCTGAAAAAAATGAATATAGGGGCTGGGGATTTAGCTCAGTGGTTCCGCTGCCTGTCTCTTAAGCGCAAGGTCCTGAGTTTGATCCCTGATACCAAAAAAACCCCCCCCAAAACCCCAATATAAATAAATAGTTTATATTATACTTTAAATGCACAGGAAAAGTTTGCTATCAGAACAAATCCTCTTGCAAACATTTTTAAAAAATCTAATTTACCTTTGTAAATTAGAGTTGTCCTATATCACATTCAAATCAGAATCCACCAGTGGATTGTCCCTCCTTGTTGTAGTTTATCGGGGTCTCTGGTTCATTGACAAATCACACATTCCACTGACTTCTGAGGTTATAAAAAAATAGCTGTTCCTGGGCTGGGGATTTAGCTCAGTGGCACTGTGCCTGCCTCTCAAGCGCAATGTCCTGAGTTTGATCTCTGGTACCAAAAAAAAAAAAAAAAAAATTGATACCTGTTCCTCTTTTGGTAGTTTGGTTACACGCATAAATAACCTTCTATGAATTTGAGAACTCTATATGAATTGGCATTACTCATCAGAATTGAATACTCTCTGTGAATTGTAAACCTGTGTACAGTAATGCGGGGATAATGCAAAGTATCATTTAGCAGTTGCATAACTCCAGCATGAGGAGGATCAAACCTAGGGCTTTGTACATGGGAGGCAAATGTTTTACCACCAAGCTATATTCCTAGCTCCAGTGATTGTACTTTTGAACCATCCTTTCTTGGCTAAATATAAGAAAAGTAGGTGGAGGTCATAATGCTTTGATACCAGTTCCCTGACACTAGTTGGGTGTCCTGCAGTTTAACTCACTTCTGACTCTACTGCCTGGACTTACTGTGTCTACAGGTTTTAGGACTCATAATAGATGTCAGCTGCAAGTCTTGGGGCTACCTTTACTTCTGCTAAAATGACCATAAATTTGGAATTTCCCACCACCTTGTTAGATTTGATAATTTGCTTGAACTGCAAAAAGCACTTTACTTATGATCAGTTTTATGATCAAAGATACAACTAAGGAACCACTTGGAAGAGATACACAAAGCAAGGATTGGAATGGCCTTAGACACTGAGCTTCCATGCCTTCTCCCCATGGAGTGCCAATGCATCCATGTGTTCACTAATGAGGAAGTTCTTCGACATTGTGTCTACAATGTGAAGTCTAACTGTGTCATTTAATACACAGTTTAGCTCAGTTTTCAGCTCTTCTTCCTCCCTAGAGAATAGGGTTGAGTTGTAAGTTTAAACACATCACATGCTAGGTGTGTTAGTTACTTTTCTCTCGTTGCTGAGGCAAAATACCTGACACCCAAAGTTAAAAGGGGTTTATTTGGCTTACAGTTCGTAGAGGTTGGCTGGCTCTGAGGCTGGGATGGCAAACACGCATCGCGGAGGAAAAACAACATTACAGTCACAAGGCACCAAAGGTAACGAGAGTTTAACAATATTTTTCTGTCCCTTTTATCTTATTCAGACTACAGGGTAATTAGGGGGGTGCCAAACTAATCACTCACATATAGTGGTTTAGTAATCACATATCCTTAACCCCAGCATCAACCAGATTCAGTTACCTCTGAAAAAGAAAGCCCCACCTCATCCACATGAGGCTTTGGGTGGATATCTAAACACAAACCATAACACTAGGTCTTTCTGGAGTGGTGAAACTATCTAAGGGCCTACTCTATGTCACCTTATTAGCACAAAGTCGAATGTGATCAAATAGGTGCTCATCAGGAATAATAAAAGGCATTACTGTCACCCAGGAAATTCAAGGGTTTTGGGAATTGTGTGCCAGGAACTAGGACAAAAATTAGATTTATTTATTATCATACCATAATCATGATTTAGATAAACCTTGGGTTCTTGTCAGAAGTATTAGAGAATATTAAGATGTGGTGAATATTTAAGCTTTCTGGATAAGGATGGCAGTTGATGCCATAAGAGATCCCTGTAGGTGACAGGAGAGGAGACAGGAGAGTCTTGGAGAGAGCTCTGGGAAATGCTAGCATTTGAACAGTAGATAGGGGATGAGAGAGTGAGGAATTGCCTAGTGAAGTAGAAGGAAAACAAGAACAGCTGGTTGTTATAGAAGTCAAGGGAAGTATATTTCTAGACCAGTGCTCTTCAGTAGAATTTCCTGTGATGATAGAAAAGGTCTGTGTCTCTTATCTCTGTTGTCCAATAAGATATCTACTAGACATGTACAACCATTGAGCAGTTGAAAAGTAGCTAGTTGAACTGAGAAGCAATTTATGTTTTTATGTAATTATACTTAATTTAAATAATTGTACATGGGTAATGGTTACCATTTTGTATAGTACATTTTGGATTTAGGATATGGATGATAGGTTAAGAAGAATAAAAACTCCAGGTAAACTTTTCCCTATTAAGCGACTGGGCTCTAGGGCTGAAGTTATGGGATTGCTTAAGACTATAGGCTGTTCTTAACAGAGGACTTGGGCTGTTGGAGACAGTTTTGGAAGCACTCGGAGCTTTAAAACTGAAGATGGCTCAATAATGAAATAAAGGTCTGAGACCTTTGAGTATGATCCAATTATTCATTTTCAGACACTTATTGTCAAAATGAGATTATTATTTGATTGTTGAGGAATCTTAAAGAAATACAAGCAAATGATGTGAATTTTTTTAATGTGTGTCAGTGAGGGTTGAGTTAAGCTGCATGTAATAGAAAACTCAAGTAAGTGGCTCCTAGGAGATGAATGTTTACTTGTCTTTCTCTCACCATCTTTAAGGTTAAGTTCTTGAGGGTGCAGATATCTGCGGAAGCTCCATAATCACACTGTGAACAGGCAAGAATACAAGAAAGGGTGGGAAAGGCAACAAGACTGACCTGCTGGCCACCTTAGTCCCCATTAAAGGTCCTTCTTGGAAGGAACAACTCCAGTTACATTTCATGTCAGACTGAACCACAGATGAGGCTGGAAAATGAATGTTTCATCTGTGCATTTTGCTACCCCAATTAAAACTGTGGTAATATTGGTGTAGAAGAATGAGAGAGTGGATGTTGGGTAGAGGGCTGGTGATCTCATTCTCTGGGATCCTATCCAGGAAGAGACCCTTGTCCCCTTTGGCATCCACAGGCTTCTCCGCAAGTCCTAATACATTGCACAGCTTTTACAACAATCTGATTTGTTTCTGGGTTCAAATTACTGGTAACACGTCTGGAGTGCCTAGAGTACTCCCTAGGACAGTGGTTGGCATGTGTGTCACAGTGGGCTGTTTGAGGATACAGAAAAGTCTGAGAGAAGGATTACAGGAAGATAGAGGGTGGTGTTATGGGAAGCATGTACAGATTCAGAAGTGGGTGAGAATGGAAAGTGTGGAAGATAAGCCTCACCCTCAATTACATCATCTGTAGCTTGTGAAGTCACCTTGTTTTTCAGGGGTGTGGCCGACTGTGGAAATTTTGAAAGTGTTTTCCTTTTGAAATGGATGTGGATCAAGCATTATTTCACTAGGTTTTCAATTTTATCACTGATTACCACATCACTTTAGCCAGTCACTTCTCTCTACACCTCAGATGTTTTCTCTGTGAAGGGGTACTTGCTACATCCACCTAGAAAATTATAGTTTGTATGGGTGAATGCATGATCTTTGAAAGTATTAATCTGTCATTAATCATAGTAATACTATGCATTATATGGAGGCAAAGAAGTAAAAAAGGATGTATTTATCTGTGTGTCTATGCATATGCACAGATGTGCATATGTATGTATTGTTCATGCCAGGTTGAACCCCCTTACTAAGTTTAAATATAAACTGTCTGTGGTACTTTACGTTTTTTTGCAAGCAAGCGCTGGAACTACTGAGCTAAATCCCCGGCCCTTGTCTGTGGTACTTTAAAAACTTGTTTCTGATTTGTGTTAGAGATATTTTTAGGTTGTCATAAGATGTTTTGTTTAGCCTTTCATTGGTTAGTACAGGCAGCATTGAACATTCTTGGATTTAATAGTCAAGAATTGGATTGTCTACCAAGCCACAGATGGCAGAAACAGTCATTATAACCTGGCCTGGGGTGTGGGGCTATTTCATAACAAGACATTTAGAAAGTTAATGGCCCATTGGTGGGTCTAGCCAACTGCCTAAAGTTTTAACTCAAAGTGTTCTTTTTTTTTTTTTGGTACCAGGGATCGAACTTGGGTCCTTGCGCTTTCTAGGCAGGCAGCGAAACCACTGAGCTAAGTCCCTGGCCCTCAGAGTGTTCTTTTAAAAAAATAATCTTCTATCTATTTTATAAATAATAACTTTTCAGCTAAAGACTTAATGAAAAATGCTCCAGAAGAGAAAGGCAATTAATTATTAGTGTTGTTGATGGAGGTAAAGATTCTGAGAAAGTGAGTTACTAGCCAGAAAGTAAAAACCTTGGCTAAATAATAGACATTAAATTTGGTAGTGGCTTGAGTCTGTAATGTGAATGAATCTATTAAAAAGAAAAACTTAGGGCCAGGGATTTAGCTCAGTGGTTCTGCCACCTGCCTTGCAAGTTCAAGGTCCTGAGTTCGATCCCTGGTACCAAAAAAAAAAGAAAAAGAAAAACTTAATAAAACTTCAGTTGTTAACCAAAAGGGAAAACTTGAGAGAAATTTAAGGGGCTGCAGAGATCCTGTGAGTGAATAATAGAGGCCTTGTGGTCACCACTGTAGTAATTTACACTGTGAAGATAGGTTGGTCTGATGATTTTCGGAATTAGTGTGATTTGTGAATTTATATATATGTTCTCTTTTCAAATGTCCAGGACCTACTTTCCTTGCATGTCTGTCATAAGGGTGGTTTATTATCTGTTTGATTTATTTGTATATTTAAGATTAAAACTTTCATCATTTTCCCTTTCCAGAAGTTGTAGCTTGTGAGATAGATTTCTTACTACAGTTGGGGAGGTGGGGAAGGTTGGCACCTGAATAAACACTGGTACATGGAAGATGCCTCTGGAAGGCTGTTCTGACATGCTTTCTAGCCTACTAAATTTCCTGCCAGTAAAGGGCTACAGAACATTTGTTACTACTTTAAAGGACTTAAAAGCTAAGGGGTGTTCCAAAGGAGCCTTGCTGTGGAATGAAAATTGAGAGCACTGCATGTAGTTAGTGGGAAATCTTCTGATGGCCTCCTTCTGTGGAACTTTGTGATGACCCTGCAGTGTTGTCTTAAATAGAATGCCTCAACCATACCTCTGTCATCACAGTGCAGAACTTGGGGAGCTCTCAGGACTGGGGTGCCTTCGACATGACAAACTAAATAATGTGAAAACAAAGGAGGATATATAAGGGAGCTGATTTCATGAGGTGCCTTATGACAACACAGAAAGATCAGATTAATGCTGTACATTTGATACCTTTTGGTTCATAAAGCATGTTAACTTCCTCACCTTTGATCTGGGCAGAGTAGATAGTCCCGCCACCTGCAGATGGGAAAGTTGACGTTTGGAGAAGCTGTGCACTACATTGGGGTACCTAGCCAGTTGCTAGTGGGTTGGTCAGAACTTCTCTTCTGATTCCTAATCTGATTCTTTTCCTATTACACTTTAATTCTTTTTTTAAAAAATCATTTTAGTTTAGTAGTTCATGTGTATAGTATATAATACTTACGTTCCTCGTGGGAAGTTGGTTCATGTATATAACACATCTTAACTCCATTTTCGTCTCCTTTTCCTTCCCTTCCACCCTGCACCCATTCCTTGCTCCTTTTCCTTTTTAAAATTTTTTTTTGGGTAAGTTTGCAGTACATGACACAATGTTCACATTCCTTGTGTGGAGGTGGTTCATGTGTATAACACATCCCAGTTCCTTTTCTTCCTTTATCCTTCTCTTGATCCCCTTTCCCTCTGAGAACAGTCAATCTCTATACTGCCTATTATCTTCTATTTTTCACTTTATTTTATTTGATGGTTTGTTTATTTATGGCTTAGTCTTCTGTCACAACAGAATTGAAGTAATTTTTCCCCCAGTACTTGGGATTGAACCCAGAGCCTTCACATTGAGGTACATCATTAGCCAGCAACCCCCTCCCCCCTTTAGTTTTTGTATTGAAACAGGGTCATGCTAAGTCATCTTGAACTTCTCTTGTGATCCTCCCACCTCAGCCTTCCAAAGTACTAGGATTATAATACCTGGCGAGTTGAGGTAATTTAAAAGTAACATCTAAGAAGAAAATTATGCCGGTGGAAAATTTTGACTGAAGTAAGACAAATACTTGTTTTCTTCTTAAATTTCAGAAGTGAAGATGAAAGGAAAACTGCATTTGCTGAAAATTAAATCATACTTGTGTGCCCAGAGCTTCCCATCAATTCTTAGGTCATTCATTATATAGTCTCTAAATATTGTAGGTATATAAAGCTTTTTCATTTTACTGCAAATTTAGGAGTTTATGAATGGAGATAGGAGTAACAAATGGGAGAACTTTGCTTTTTTTC